CCCGTTTTACGTAGAGTGGCGTAAAACTCCGTGAAAAACGCGATAATTGCGCCTTGCAATAGTCGTGAAATGTGTTTTTCATATCACGGGTGAAATTCCAATAAACATATTTCTCACCACGGATATCACGTTTTGTAGGTGAATGATTACGCCACTCCACGTAAAACGGATATTTCGGGTATTTCCCTCTCGAAAAGTTTTTAGAATTTTTTTGGGAAAAAGGAATATTTCCATTATTTTTCGATGCAAAATCATTAACGTAGTTGGAATAATTACCGCCAAAAATTAACATCGTGAAAAAGTTGGTAAAAATGTAACATTTTTTTTCTGAAGGTTACTGGACGAACATAGAGCTACGGAAATCCAGTCTGACCTTCGACGAGAACATACCACGCCTCCCCCGAATCCTGAGCCAATTGCGTCCTGTTGAATTTGCGGGCGCTATTCCCATTGTTATCATAATTTTGAGTAGGAATAGAATTCGTGTTGTTCGTAGTCGTAGTCGTAGTCGTCGTGGTTGAGTTCGAAGGTTTGGTATGAAAATGGTATTATGAATAGAGAGGTTCATGTAGGCTCATTGGAAGGGTTATTATTACGATTACATATTTTTGAGTTATCACTACTGCTGCATTGCTAAGGTGCTCGTTCTGAATAAAATAACTAAATTGCCTCGCAGTACGAGGAAACCTAAGGAGTTGTGTTATGATTAAAAATAATCTGGTTGAAGGAATTCTTAGCTGTCGTGGTATTGGAGAGGCCTTTCAACACACTTAAGGTGTTGAATATTCGAATATCCTTTGCCAGTTGTCATTACGCAACATCTTCTTCAATTCACTTCATCGAGTGGCATTCTAAATTCGGTTTTACTACGTGGAGATGAATTCTCCTCCAACCTTCTGTTGAGGCATTGACACAATTTATTGTCCCACAAGGATCGGGGAAGAGTCGTTCTCCGATAAGCCGGATCTCGGTGAACTCTGACCGACTGATAGTCAGGGCCTAATACAACCTTCAGCTGTGTTTTCCCACTATCAATATCGCATGAAACATTTATGAAAATGGTAGGCTTTTGGGGAACAGTTTTCCCAAAAAACGTACCATTTTCCCGGAAAACCGGCACACAGAGAAGCGTGCCAATTTGATATACAAATATGAAGAATGTGTGTTTCCTATTCCGGAATTGATGATGGTGAACAACTTGGCGCTATCATAGTCTCAAAAGGTTACTTCTATCACATTTTCTGTCTTGTTGCACCAGTGTTGTTCCCGCCGCCGACGGCATGAGTAGTTTCACGTTGGTGCTTTAGCACTGTGATCAACAAATTTGTACAATGGGAAGGCGGTAACAGGACGTCATTACGCTCATATTCCCTTCCGTACTTATCGAAGATATCAGTGAATGTGGTATCTCCATCTCATCTTTAGGATGAGTTCAGATTTCGAGCGAAGCTGTCCCCTGACTGGTGTAACACAAGGCGATCCCAGAGGGTAAGGAGGTGAAGTACACAAGAAATGATACCGTTCGTAAGGCGAAGGGAGTAGTGTCACATTACTAATGTGTTTCCGCGTAGAGCGCCGAACGAAGGGGTACGTATACGAAGATTTTCTATTGTACTCACGATGAGAGGCGTTGACCACTCAGCTGATATCCTCCTGTTGATGAAATCACGACAAGGATCTATGAAAGAGCCTGGGTCTGCCTGTGACAGTATCACGCAGACCTACGGGAAATAACGTAAAGCGTGGGAAAGAATATTGATCCGCTTACCAGTAGACATTGCCCACTACGAAGGGAAAGGTGAGAGAGATATGGTACGGATGCTGCGAAGCGTCATCAATATTCATGAAGACTCAACGAGATAACTACGATCACTATAACACTCGGTCAGTCTACGTCACGGTAAGGTCTGAGATAGCTTCCGGAACTGGAGAGGGACCATCCAGAGTTATTAAACGTACTGAGATAATAATCGCAAACTGGACGCCCAACAAAAGTCTGAATAATGATAAACCGAAGCGGTTGATACGTTGAGGATTCAAGTGTCGGAAATTATCAACTAATGGGAAGGGGGTTCTTTGTGTACCAGCTTCAAGAGCTCGCCCTTGACCGAAACATGCGGGTGGTCGAACTTACTATCGTAGGTAATAATCCACAAGTCACCTCCCTTCAGAGGTTTGTACGCTGGGCATTTGACCTCAAAGATATCTAAGAAGGCGGTCCAATCAGGATTCGGTTCTGAGGTTCCCGGAATCGTCGTAGGTATCTTGTAGAACGTATCAGACAGCTTAAGGACAGCAAAGGTCGCCTTAGTTGGTCTGACACCAAACCCACAGAAGAAAGTAATCTCCACTCTTTGAGCATTGTCCGAGAATGTATACATCAAATTCAGATAAGGATCACTCACGGTCGCGACATATGAACCATCAGGCTGGTAGGATAGAGCAACACCGACGAGTATGAGCTGGAGAAGGCGATTGAACATGGATTCGGCGGAAAAAGCTACAGTAAACAGTCCTATAGTGCTATTCTATCCCTGGTATAGTATACCAGAGATACTAGTTACGATTCTGGCCTGTTCCACGCCGCACCACGATCGATCGAAGATGCTCGCACATGAAGCGCCTCCGACGTTACGTGTTACGAAACGTAGAGAGTCCGCATGGCACGTGAGTGCACTGAACTGTACAGGTCATGCGTGTCGCACGTACGCATGTCGTGACAGTGTCACAACCGTGTCGCGACATGACCGAGGAGAATATCAGTGTCAAGTGCAAGTTTGATGCGACCGAGGATCGCCCGAGAACATTCCAATAGGGGGGTCGTCAGAAACCCGTGCTTGTGGACTTTCATCATAAATCATGGGGCAATGGACCTCACTTCGGAATGTTCTCTTAAAGGTTGAAGTCGCTGTCAGGACCGTTAAAGACGTGGGACGTCATGGTACTGCCATGATGCGTGAAGAGTCTTCACTGAAGACACGTGATCTGCACAGTTCTTACAGGTTCGTGTTTGACGTGACGTACGTGGGATGGAGGTCAATTCATTGGGCTGG